CTTAAGCCCCACCCTGGGCGCTAAAACACGAGGGGGCAGTAAGCCACCCAACTTTCTGCAGCAAAGGGCGCTTAAGCGCACGCCAGGGCGCTCCAGCGCGCAATCCTGGGCGCTTAAGCCCCCACTTGGGCGCTCCAGCGCGAGGAGGCAGAATGCATTGGCACTCGCAGGGGCAGCAGGGCGCTTGGGCGCGCTCCTGGGCGCTTAAGCGCGCTGCCAGGGAATTCCAATTCCCACATTTCTCAAGTCCAAGCCTAGGGGAAAATGCATCCCCATTACAAACCCCAAATGTCCATGCCCCAAAACTAAATCCTAGCACTCATCCAACCTCTCCTCATGAGATTTAGCTAGAATTTGGACAGCATGACCTTTGTTTTCTCATCGTTTACCAGTTTAAACGAAGAGGGTACCTAATTGATTTTCAGCCCAGCCAATTCAACAACTCAATACATAACAAGCATGCATATATTGAATTCCAAGTAGACATCATTTACATTACATATCCTTTACAAATCATAGAACTTAGCTTACAAAACACTATGATCATTCCCTTGGCTCCCATCAACAATAGGTGTAACCAAAGGCATGAGCATAGGCTAAGTTCATCCAATGAATCAAGATATACATATGATCATGGGCTTTCAAAATAAAATCCTATACATGTCAACTACAAAAGGCATGCATAAACTCAAAGAAGTGCCATATTTCATGCATAATCCAGATATGGCCACTTGCCACCAGAGGCTCCTGCAGCATCCTTACCTGAAAGGGGGTCCCCACAACACGGGGTGAGATATACGAATATATCCAGTAAACCAGGGGTCCTTGGAGCATCTCTCCACCCCACAGTTCCATATCAGTGTAATAGCAATAACAATAATAATGCAGTAAATACATATCTATGCAAAGTGCAATACATCTCCAGGAGAAATCCCTCGAGCTCTCAAGCTGTCCTAAGGAAACTCAGATGCAAATAGTCCTACTGGCCAGCTAACTACCAAGTATGATTTACGCATCGTCATGCAACATACCAACATAGGGAAACACCATCCTATGCCACACCAAATGCATACACATACGTATAACAAAGCATTACACTATTTTATTGCATTTATATACACAATCACAACCTCCACCCTTTCAGGGCTTGGTAGAACAGTCAAGGGAATTACACCCAAGGTCCGAAGGCTTACCTCAATGCTTCAGTCAACCTTTGTTCTTCACCAACAGTTTCAGCAATCAACTTTTACAAACATACACCTACACATGGTGTAATGCAATCAACACATTGCATCCAAGAGTATTTCACCATCAACCATCAATTCAAAGCACAACACAAGTATGAGCTTACCAATTCCAATGAGCTATTCAAGCTCCATAGCTTGCTCCAATGGTTGATCACTCACGGTTGGTCCAAATGTCTCAATCCTAGACATCACAAGGATCCAATCAATCATTCAACTCATTAATTGTTCAACATGCTAGGATACTAACCAATCCAAGCATGAATTTTCCAATATTATGAACAATTATCAAATGACTATCTAGGCTCATTTCCACCGATTAAATGACATTCCTAGCATTTTCCATAACATGCTCTAAGCTCCATTCTTCCTAGAACATAGCTAATTCAACTACATTTCATAAAAATCCCAATTTACTATTCACAAACCCTAACTCATGCAAATTTCAAGGAATCATGAGGTTCAAGGGTTAGAATCTTACCACCAATGGTCACACAACCAAGGATTGATGACTCCTCAAGCTTCAATGGAGGTAGAAACTCTCAAAACCCCAAATTTCTCCAAAGGGCCGAATTTTTTAGAGCCAATATCCCACCACACAAAGCTCCCCACTTAAAACTAAGCTTGGATTATGAAAGAGGGCGAGATTCTAAGCGATTTAGGCTTTTGAATCATCCAAAACCATCAAGGTTTGATCTCTCTCTCTCTCTTTCCCTTTTCTTCTTCCCTCTCTTCTCCCTCTCTTCTCTTCTCCTTCTTTTCTGTTTCTCGACGAAATGGGGGTGGGAAATGGGGCTCATTTGGCTTTTAGTCACTTAACATAGGTTAAGTGACTTTAAGCGGGTATTGGTTCGTCTATCTATTCAACTCCAATAATTACCAAACTTTACCCAAAAGTCTGGAATATTAATCTAGGAATATTACTATTTTTATTTTTATATTTTGGGTACTTTTGACAGTACCCATTTATACCCCTTAATTTTCACTGAGTACACTTTTTAACTCCAAAGTGACTCAGATTCATTTTATTAAGCCTCATACTTAATTTCACCCAGTAAAACATGTTTAATTAATTAATTACACTTGATTTCCTAATTAATTAATATGGGCTATTATAGTTGGATTAGACCGCAGTGTGTCAGCAGGTTTTTGGGACTGCCCCCGTTGCGGGCACATACATAATTTATTATTATTTATTCCAGACTGGTTCAAGAACTCTTCCATTACCATATTGATGTCTTCGTCATCGACCACTTGCAAACTAATGTATTGTTCACATTGCTATAATATTGTCGTGACTAGAGTGGTCGATTGGTTGTCTTCAAGACATAATTTTTGGCGTATTTACTGATGCAACTCCATAACCGTTGAGTTTCGCTTAATACGTGATGGCCTTTTCTCCCCTACAAAAACAACACCACGACGACCTTCCTCTTTCCTACCGTTATAATATAGAATAACACGAATAAATTCAGAATTCGAACTCATTCTTAAAAATAAAAAAAGAATAACATAAAACAAAATATGAATAAATAAGTGCAAATGAATGTGGGAGTTTAAGAATAATGAGTGAGAAGATGTGTGAAGAGTGTAGAGAGGATAAGTGTATAAATAGGTTGCAGTTAGGTCACTCACGCCCTGGTTGGGCATGATCTCCAGCTGGAACACGTCCCATGTGGGCGTGTCTCTCTCATAGGTCACGCCCCACATGGGTGCGTCTCTCTCCTGTTGCTCACGCCTCATGTGGGCATGTTTTCCCTGTAGGTCACACCCCACATGGGCGTGTCTCTCTCCATTGGAACACGCCTCATGTGGGCGTGTTTGACTGCTATATGTGCGTAAATAATTTCAAAACGACTATATTTACATAATTATTTATTAAAAAAGCAATACATTAATTTTTTTGCCCTTAACTCAAAGGTAACAAGACTTGGTGTATAGGACCAAGTTGTGGAGAGTCACCTTTATTCTCCTAATTTATTTTTTAATTATTACAAAAGCTTAATTTTAAGCCCAAGTGTCTTTTGCAATTTTTGGAAGAGTCTCTTAGGTCTATGAGCACATAAAGAGGGTCTCCTTATAATGTGGGATTGTTAAAAGAAAGGGTATAGGTCCTACCCAAGTGAGACTTATACACTTCTTTTACGCATTTTTTCCTTTAATAGTTTTTGGTATCATTTTTTTGCTATCAACTAGAAAATGGACAAAAATAAGTGTTTACAATTATAATTATTTTTTATTTTTAAACATTTGGGACGAAATTAGGTGTTCATAAGACTGACATCACATCTCAACCCAAAATTTTAAGATTGTAGATCTATGTACTTTTCACACTTATAAGATCCTCACTTGGTTCATTTCCAATTGATGTGAGACTACTCACACTCAGGGGCGGACCTACATGAGGGGCTAGGATGGGGCCCCTCTTAAATATGAAAATATGTTCTACTATATGATATGTAACATGGTATAAAAAACAAAATTTTGAAAGTGCTTTTAAAAAGTGAAAGACAAGCGATGCTATTCATAAGAAAAATGTTCCACTCACTCATTGCACTCAATTAGAGATAACTATTATTTACCAGATTCAACCTGCCAACATATATAGCAGGTTTTGTTCCTGCTATGCTACCTTCACCGGTCAATGTGGAAAGCTGGTTTTTCCATTTTATACAAAGAAGAGTTCAGTTAGTAATGCGTATTCACTCTACTTGTCAAATTTGTCTAGAATTTGATTTTAAATTGATTGATTATCTAATTTTCTTTTTATAATCATTAAATTTTTTTACAGATTGTCATATCAGAACTCAGGAGTAAAGTATTTAAGTTTTGAATTTGTTAGCAAAGAAAAAAGGTCAATAATAATTATCAATTATTAGTTGGGACCAAATGCTAAAAATAAATAACACATTAATTAATTTACTGCTTCTGCTAAATAACAGCTAAGTGAGAAAATAAGATGATGAAGAAATCAAAGAAATTGTAATTATAACACTAGAAGGCATGAAGGTAAACAATAAAAAATTGATCTTACAAATAAAATATAGGGTCTTAAGGCTAGTTCCTCATTTAAATATAGAGTGCATTGGACCATTGTTGCTAGAAGCAAAAATTTGACATTCTAACCAAAAAATTGGCAACATTTTTTGTAATTTCATTAGGTTCTTCTTAATAGGTATTTTTGTATTCTTAGCGTGATCATCTAACCAAAATTGACTTTGCCTTTTCATAATAATAATATTAATTTTCGCCCCCCCTTCATATAATTTTCTGGGTCCGCCACTGCTCACACTTGAATATTTCTAACAAATCTTACTTATTTTTTTGGAGAATGGAAATTTAGTGATGTACTACTTGATTCCTGCTTATGATTTGTATTAGCAGGTATGTTTTTCATAACGAAAATAGGCTCCTACTAACTTCACCCTTTGTATATTTTATGAAAAAAAATGTCCATTTTCTATTGAATATCTTGAGAATTAAAGTTATAATGTTCTGTTCAAAATAATGTTAAATATTCTATTCTTGTTTTTCCATGCATCCAAATTGGTAGGATAAATGGGAGAAGGAGGATATGAGTTTAAATAAATAGTCACATCACTTGCAACAATGAATCCCAACATATTGGGTTGTTCTTGCAACATTATTTAAGTACTGATAACAAGCATGCACGGAGGCTGGAATCAAATGGATAGAATAAAAGATTACCAACTATTCAAAATCTATTTTATTTTAATGTAAATTGACAAACTTCTACATGGAAAACATTGAGATAAGAGATAACAACAACAAAGAAGTATATGAAACATGTACTAGTATTAGTTGGTAGCTGTAGTAAAGTGGCTCTTTTCCATTTACTAGTTTCCCTCCACTATACCCCAGAGTGGAAGAAACTTTTGATTATATTAAGCTCCTTGATAGCATCAATCATACTCATTCTTTCTTTTGGTGATTCCATTGAACAAGCAAGTGCAATCCTAAAAAGAGAAAGTAAGCATTTCTCTATCCTAGGATACATAAGACCAAGGTTTTTATTGTCACTAGCTCGGTCCAATTCATTTGGAAGAATAGTTGGGTCCACAGTCTGCACAATATTATGCAAAATCAAAGTTTTAACATAATTGTGAAGAGTACGACCATCTTTAAACATCTCATCTGTAGGTCTCCTTCCAGTTAAAAGTTCTAAAATAAAAATTCCGAAACTATACATATCGCCTTCAATTGACACCTCAGAACCCATTCCATACTCTGAAATGTAATGCAAATCAATAAATGTGATGAAAGATATCAAAATATTAACCCAAAAGGAAATAAAGGTCCATAAACGACAGCTAAAACTTGAAAATAATAAATTTCACAACTTAACCAAACAATATTAGGGTATACCTGGAGGAGCATAACCAATTGTTCCCTTTATTCCAATTGTGCTACTTTGCGTCAGAGAGATTCCAACACTCGAGGGCAATCTTGCTAGGCCAAAATCACTCACATGAGCTACCATGCAATCATCAAGAAGAACGTTGTCAGGCTTCAAATCACAGTGAATGATAGCTTGCTCACATTCATAGTGAAGATAATGAACTGCTGAAGCAACATCATTAATAATATTTAACCTTTCCTCAAGGTTCAATAATCTAGGCTGATCTGCAATTTCTTTAGTTGGATGCAACCAACTTTCTAAGCTTCCATTTGACATGTACTCAAAAACTAGGGCTTTAAATTCTTGACCTTTGAAATCTATACTGGAACAACATGTTAAAATCTTAACCAGATTTCGATGCCTGATATTTTTGAGTGCATTGCACTCAGCAATGAAACTTTTGTGAGCTCCCTTCTTTTGAAGATTTAGGACCTTTATGGCTACCATTGTGTCTTCTGGCTCAATAGTTCCTTTGTACACAGAGCCAAAGCTTCCGGATCCTATCAAGTTTCTTATTGAAAACCCATCGGTTCCACGGTGTAGGTTTTGGTATGAAACCCTGGACAGCTGGTCAATTGTTGGTGAATCAGAAGATGATTTCTTGCTTTTTTTCGTCATCCAGTAGAAAGTGAGAATGAATGACAGTATGAGAAGAAAAGAAACCACACTAATTATTGCTGCTATCAACCTGAAATTGTGGTGTTTTTCATGTTTATCACCTTTGAAAGGGCATGGCAGTAGATGCAGCTCTAAAACACCTCCACAGAGCTTGTTGTTTCCGATCACTGATAACTCACTTGCATTTTGAAAGACACCTTCTGTTGGTACCTCACCATCCAACATGTTAAATGATACATTTAAGTATTCCAAGAAAGAAATATTTTGCAAAATGTCAGGAATTGATCCAGACAAGTGATTTCGCGATAGGTCTAAATGTCGAAGACCTTTTATTGAAGCCAAAGAGGATGGGATGATTCCGTGGAATGAATTCCCTTGCAAATAAAGGTACTCCAAGCTTGAGCAATCTCCAATGGTTCCAGGAATATTACCATATAGTTGATTCTCAGAGACATCCAGGATATCAATATTTTGTAATTGGCCCACTTCATCTGGTAGACTTCCACTCAATGAGTTGTGTGACAAGTCTAGTAAATTTGTTAAAGAGGAAAGACTAAAAACCTCTAAAGGAATGGTTCCTCTAAGATTGTTTCGGGAAATTTTTAGATATTGTAACTTTTGGCAGTTTTGTATACTTAGAGGAATATTTCCTTCTAACAAATTTTGGTCTAAACTCAAATGAAACAACAAACTAAGGTTGCCTATGATGGATGGTATACCTCCTGACAGCTTGTTTCCACCCAATTCTAAAAGTTGCATCTTGTGATTCTTTCCTAAAGCAGATGGAATAATCCCCTCAAAATTGCTATTTTCCATTGTCAAGAGAATTAAACTAATTAGATTTCCTAATTCCGCAGGAATTTTTCCCGATATCTGATTACCCCCAAGATATAGTTCACTGAGTTGGGAGGATAAATTGCCCAAGCAATTTGGCAAACGACCTCCAAAGTTATTGTAGGCAATATCTAAATGTTGCAACTTACTACAATTTGTCAATGATTTTAAAAACTCCAAATCTGTAGTTAAATTGTCACCTAGATTGTTGACGGACAAACCTAGGATATACAGATCTTTTAACTTCCCCAGACTTGGAACTACTCCCACGAAATTGTTTTCAATGATATCGAGTGATTGGAGGACAGAAGCATTTGCAATGGAAGTGGGAATTGGACCTGAAATTTGATTCCCGCCAATTCTAAAATCTTGGAGATTGGGAAGGGTGTGGAACATGTTGGGAGGAAGAGAGCCGTTAAATTGATTCTCTGCAGCTGCTATTAAAATAAGGGATGACATATTGTAAAGACAAGAAAGAAATGTACCAGACAATCTGTTGTCAAACACTGATATATATGCCATGTTTTTGAGGCGACATATTTCTTGTGGAATATCACCCTCAAAGTTATTGTAAGCCACCGAGAAAAAGGATAGGGATGAAAGATTCCCTATGAAGGATGGGACTCCTCCGGTTAAATTGTTGTTTCGAGCACCAAAAAATTGAAGTTTCCGAAGAGAGGCAATTTCAATTGGTATTTTGCCAATCAGATTGTTCCCAGATAAGATTATCTCTTTGAGATCAGAACAACTTGTCAAATTTGTAGGAATTCCCCCGGTCAACGAGTTCTTGATGAGATAGAGTTGCTTCAGTTGTAACAATCGACCCAATTCTTGCGGGATTTTTCCATAGAAGCTGTTGTTTGAGAGGTCGAGGGTTTTAAGAAAAGAGAGATTGCCAACTTGTGGAGATACGAGCCCATGCAATTGATAATCTTGTAGGTTCAACTTGGTAACTCTATGGTGCTTGGGGCTGCATGTGATTCCATGCCAGTTGCAAAAGTGGGTAGAACTATTCCAAGAGACCAAGATACCATATGGGTCACTGGATATTGATTCCTTGAATTTGAGCAATGCCAAATGGTCAGTTTGGTTTCCTGATGCAGAGGCAGTTGTGTTTGGGTCAAACCAGAGTGAGTTCAAAGTAATTAAGAGAAGAAATAGGGGAAGGCATGTAGAGCAAAATTCATATATAATGAGAGAAAAGAGCTTCATTTTTTGGTTGAGGAAGACGAGGCCACTAGATGGTGTGTTTCTTCTGCTGAATAGCTATGTTGGAAACACAGAAGAGGCTTATTTCTTCATTCTCTTGCTCTATGCGATTTATATACTGGAGGCAACAAACGAAAAAAAAGATGTGACATCTTGAATTCGAGTATTATTTGCCACCACAAAAGATTAAATAAATAAATAGGAGCAATCCATCTCAAGTCATATGATTTACCTCGCTACCTAACACAGGCAACAAAATCAACACAAGATGTGACATCTTGAATTCGAGTATTTATAGTCAAGATAAGAATATTGTGTGGACGAAGAAGCATGCATGTGACATGGAGCCCAAAGCTAACACAGACTTTTAAAATCTTTTTATCACTTCTGACGAGTCAGTGCATGTTTGCTTCACCTTGATTACTATTTTGTGTATTTTACCTTGACAATCGTTTCTTTGTGGGTGGAAGACTAGGTTTAGAGTTTGGGTCATTAAGTGGGCCCAAAAAATATTGGATATCTTACAACCACTTGGTTCTATCCATATCTTGGAATGAGAGAATGTGCGAAGAAAGGACAGTAAATTATCCTCTCTTTGGATGAAATTTAATATGTAACTTGATGAAGAACATATATAAAGCAACTCTTGTGATGTGATCCAACTATACGAAAAAGATATGATTTACAAACGCGAAATATGTTCAATGCAAGCACAAATAGAAAGCCAAAGTCCTAGATATGAACAGAAATAAGTTACATTAAACAAAGATTATTCTGGTTCATAGAGTAACATAACTAGGGGAGAGAGGAGCTATAATCAATTTTCTCACTTTCTTATAATATAGATTGGTAGAAAGGAGGCAGCTCTACATTATCCTTCGTTGTATATGGTTTAGTCACTACTCAGTTAACTGATTCTGCTACCAACAAATCCCTTCCTCATTAGACGTAGTTCTTTAGTAACATCCGCCGTATCCATTTTATATATGGGTGATTCCACTTAAAAAACAAGCCAAATCTTAAGCATAACGGGCCAAGATAGTGTAAGGTTAGCTGGCTATCAATTTTTCTACAACATGATGGGCATGTGTTATAGATACATAATGTTAACAATAATTTTTTGTTTTCATTTTTGAAACACAAATTTGAAAATATGATGTTTTGTCACGAGTTAGATACGAATCCTCTTATATCAATTTTTCGTTAAGTATGCATTGGTCATCTCTTTCTTTTTCTTTCTTTCTTTCTTTTCTTTTTTTCTTTTTTTTTTTGAGTTTTTCTCTCATGACATAGTAGTGAAAATATTCTTTGGGAAAAAAATTCTAAAATCTAGACGAGATTACTATAGGAATCTTGTTTTTGTAACACATCTTCATCTAATACTCATGTAAATTTTACCAAGTGTATGTAGTACAGAAACTACCATGGAAATTACTCATAAACTAGTTTCAAATCAAAATCAGAGGTTCCATCCCCTTCCAAGATTTGCAGCATTGCATTTACTTACCTGTGAAGAGAAGAAAAAAGGGTAACAACATTCAAAGTAAACCGGGTCCCATCAATGGAAATTTAGTAAAAAAAGGGTAACAACATTCAAAGTAAACCGGGTCCCATCAATGGAAATTTAGTAAACAGGGGCCCCGACCAATGCTTGTCTGCTTCACCATGACTAGTATTTTTATTTTTATTTTTATTTTGTAATTTACATTGACTTGCAATCGTTTCTTTTGGATTTGTGGAAAAATGGAAGATGAGATTTTCACACAATGGACCAACTGATATTTGTAACGCCTCGTCTATAGCGGGTTTATTATTATTCATACGATAGTAAGCACAACATGCTCAACTTAATTAATGTGGAAGCTAACTGAATAAATTTTTTCTTTTTCCTTATACATTGCAAACTTTATCACTTCCATGGCCAAAATAAAACGAACAGCATTTCGTTTGTATTTTGGACCACTAGGGACATTTTTCACCATGATAATTTCAACCTGATTGACAGTTTAATATAATCCAGGCATAAATCATATTACCCAGCCATCCATGGCATAGGTTATCCCATACATAATAGGTCTCAATAATATCCATAGAATTACTTACATGACTACATCAAACGACCAAAAGAGATGTAATCAAATAAGTAACCTAGACATATACAGGCATAACTAACAAAATAGATTAACTATCAACATGACATAGACATAACATATACAACTCAAAATAATAACATGTCATGTACATGCCAAAATAGCAACTAATCCTGACTATCAAGTCAAGTAATATTTCTCCTTGGGTCTTTTGCCACGCGATGCCTCAGCACCATCAGCTCCTGTACCTGAAATGATAATCCTCATAACGCGGGGTGAGATAATATAATTGCCTCAGTAAGTTGGGGACCTTTGGAAGGCTCATCCACCCCTAAGCTCACTTCTGATATAATCATAGTACATCAAATACCCATGCATACATCATAATATGTATGACAATATAGTGTGCAAATAATAAATTCTACTGGCCAGAGAATACAACATGTATGTATTACGCAAGGTAATTCATCTTGCAACATACTCGTACAAGGTAACTCATCTTGTACTACACATAAGGTAACTCCTCTTATGCTTCACAGACAAGGTAACTCATCTTGTGTGGCACACAAACATACATACATATACATGCACTATATAACAACTCATAATCCACATACCATATAAAAGAAGCATCCTCCCTCGGAGTTCGGTGGAACAAACAGGGAATTAACCTCAAGGACCAAAAGCTTATCTGGCAAGCAATGTCCTCGAACAAATCTCGTGCCCACAGAGTCACAATCACGATCTCTTATAAGGTCACAGCCTAGTTCCAAGATGTGAAGACAATTAGTACATGTATACTAGTCTACCACATTCAATTTTCAAGACTACGCATACAAGACACCTACACTTGATTTTGAGTCCAATTTATCAAAGTGTTCTAAATGACAATTTTATAAATTTTCCTTTTATGGGAACTAATCCCAAGCATGTTTAACAAAGGGACTCACCTATAAATTACCTTACAACTACTCATACCATTAAATTTTTGAAATTGAAATATAGCCAAAAACCATGCTTTTCTAAAGTTAGCTAAACGGTGTTTTTTTTTGTCTTTCATCAAAAAGAAATCCTAAGCATATTTAACAAGGAAGCTATATTCAAATCACTATCTAACTATCCATACCATTAAATTTTCGTGCACTATTCATCACAAAACCTAGAATTCTTAAAATTTCATGGAAACAAGAAAAGATAGATGATTCCTTACCACGATGTATCCAAAACTGAAGGGAAAAACTTACTTCAAGGTCCCGTGACATCAAGCTCCATCAAAACTCACATTTTCCATGAAACCAGAAATCTTAGGGGAAGAATAATTCCCTTTACAGTGAACCATTCCCTTTACAGAGAACCCCACACAAAAATATAGGTACCAATGTGTTCCTCTCGAAATTTCTCACAAGTTTGGCTTTGGAACGGAGTGATTTAGAGGTCTCTAGCTCTTTCTATGAATCTTGGAAGAATTTCACTCAAAAACCCTTTCTCTTCTCTCCCTTTTTGTCGTCTGCCGGAAGAAGGAGAACAAATAAGGAATTTTGGCACTTTGTCACTTACATAGATTAACTGAAATTTAACTGGCTAAATATTTATGTATCTAGCCACCTCTATTTATTACCAAACTTTACCGAATGGATTATAATTTTTTTGTCGTCATGTTTCTGTTTTTACGTTTACCTTTTAGGTAATTTTGTCTACCCATATTTTTATCCCTTAACTGTCATTTTTAACTCATTTTTCATTACATATGACTTTAATTCATTTACTTATAAGTTAGGGTCATTATAATGTTGCTATAAAGAAGAGTCCTTTATATCACCATTTCTAAAAATGGGAATGGTAATCGACTACCACTATATATTAATCAGCCTGTATTATGTGGTGATTGGTGTGAAAAATTTGGTGTGCACATAACAAAATTGCTTACCCTCTAAGACAATATCTTTAAGATGGAGCTTTTGACACAAAAGTAAGTAGAATGTTACATCTTAATCATCAATACAGCAATTCAAGGAAAACGCAACAAATGATCACACTGGCATTAAATTTAATTTATGTTGTCAAAATAATTTATTATAAAAGTTAAGTAGTTGATTGAATTAATCTGAAAATACATAAGAATTTCTTTGTGACTAATGAATAAAACTTGGACTTTCCTCCCTCTTCAGTCTGTGTCTCTGTGGTTTTTCTCTATTTTTGCTTATCAGTCAATAATCATACCCTGCTTTATACGTTCTATAGAAAGTGAAGTCTTGATAAATTTTAATGTAGTGCTTCTAATAAAAGTAAATGCTTGTCAGCTTCACATGACTAGTCTTTTTTGTATTTTACCTTAAACGTTTCTTTTAGGGTGGAAAAATGGAAGATGAGGTTTTTTCCAAATGCAACGTATAATAATCATAACCTAAATTAAATGCTAAATTGCATTGGGTTAAGTATTTAATCATATATAATCAGATTAATTAAGTGAGAGATTTAATATAAAGGTTAGATTAAATATTAATTAATTATATTATAGATAAAATAAATGTGACACTTACTTCAATCAATGTGGCTTGTGCGTATCCATGCAGGGAAGATACATTTAAGAGAGCAAAAAGGCTTAATTGAAGGAATTAGTGTCACTTTTGAAAAAGTGCAAAAAGTGGCAATGCTGGTAGGCAAAAAAGTAAAATAGTGAATAGTACTAGAAAAATATTCTAAAAAATGAATGTATTAAGTCTGAAGAAGAGTTAGCTGAGCGGGATAGATAAGTATATATCCAAAAAGTTAAGTGTTTTAACTTTCAAGGGCAGCTCAGTTGGCAACTGAGCTTCCAAGGATTTGCTTGGGTTAGGGGTTTAAATCCTGTTTTAAGCAAATTCTGGAAGAATCTTTGAGGGCCAGAAGATGTGCCTCTGTCCTTGAATGATGAATTAGTCTCATCTTTCCTCTAGTAGTAAAGCTCAATGCACCCGATGTTCCAATGAGGGGCTAACCTTCGGGCCGTACTCCAAGGACACTTGTTGTTCCAAAGAAGGGCTAGCCTCTGGGCCGTATTCTGAGGACAAGGTGACCGGAGGAGATTGAATGGGAATATCCTCCAGGTTATACAAAAAAAAAAAAAAAAAAAATTAAGTGTTTTAACCTGTGGAACCCATCAAAGTGGCTTCATCTTCTTCGTGAGCAGAGGAGAAAACCGTGAGCCATATAGATGCAGATATATGAACTCTGAAAGCATCTTCTTCCATCATATTTTTTCAAAGCGTACACAACTTATCTTTACATAACCGATATTGTTGGGAGTTATGGTTATACTTGATAGATCTCCGTGTTGAGATCTATCTGGTTTAATTGTATATTTGTTTGTAATGATTTTTAGCATGAATCTCTTAGGGGCTGTTTGGTAAGCAGCATTTCGTAAAATTTTCAAGAAACTGAATTTTTTTAAATTTTAAATTTTCAAATATTATCGTAAACTGAATGTAAAAATCATATTTTTAAAATTCGAGATTTTCGGACAAATAAAAATTTTTCCTGTACCAAACACTCCTTTAATGATTTTTAACATTGATGTGGAGATTTTGTTATGACTTATGAGATGGGCTACAAAAGTTGATTTGATACATTGGAATCGGGTCAAAACTACATGTTTCATTTTATGCAAAGTAGTTAGTTAAGATATGGGCTGGATAAGGCAGATGAATCAGTCCAAAAAACCAACTCTTAAACCTCAAGGCTAAAGCAGGAGCATTTAGAGTGGTATCAGAGCGTTCGAAATTTCACTACCTCCCACTTTCTTTATAGTGAAATTTCCACATGTAGGTGGGCTTGTATGTTGTCCACCCTTCAAGCCCAGTGGGCTCTCGTGTGAGGGGGCGTGTTGAGAAATATAGTCCCACATTGGTTGTGTGAGCAACTAATGTGGCCTTTATAAGGCCTTGGACACTTCCACCCTTTGAGCTAGCTTTGGGGTGATGTATCTCAAGGTTCTTTACATGGTATCAGAGCGTTCAAAATCTCACTGCCTCCCACTTTCTTTGTAGTGGAATTTTCACATGTAGGTGGGCTTGTATGTTGTCCACCCTTCAAGCCCAGTGGGCTCTCGTGTGAGGGGGTGTGTTGAGATATATAGTTCCACATTAGTTGTATGAACAACTAATGTGGCCTTTATAAGGCCTTAGGCACTCCCACCTTTTGAGCTAGCTTTTAGGGTGGTGACCTCAAGGAGGAGAATTTTTTTTTTTCGAGAACAAATATTTTCGAGAAAAAAAGTGGAAATTTTTTTTACCAGTTATGTTAAAAAAAAAGTGTTTGGTAGGCCAAAATTTCACCGGAAGAGGATGTTATGTTTGGATGATTGTAAAATATCGATAGGATAGGAAGAAGTACCAAAATTACCAAATAACCCCCCATTTTGAAAATTAAATGTGTTTGTCATAAAAACGTTATTATTTGACATCTGCATTGTGGGTCTTAGATGAGATCTCATCATCACCGCCAAGGCCGCCTTGGTCTAGGCCTCTAACTCCACCGTCCACGTCGACTGTTAGTAACGGCGGAGCCGGTCCAAAAATTTAGGTGGTGCCAAAAAAATTGACATATTAAATTATCAAAATATTTATCGTAATTACACAAATTTATCAGGAAAAAAATTTACTATGAATTCTAACATAGTTATCTAAATTATGTACTAAATAATGTCACATAAGATTAAAAATTCAAATGAATAATTGTCGTTGATTATATATCAAAGCAAATATATAAAAATGCACTAACCTTTTCGGTAAACATTTCAAATATAAGAATTTCACTTTCTTCCCACAACATAATAAGTAATAAACCAAATATTATCCTAAGGATATGAAAACACACAAATATGATAATTATATGTATAATAAGCATTGTCCTTCGTCTCCTCTTTCATTATCTCTATTCCTTAAAGTTTCAATATCTCACGTTAGAGAACATCGCTCTTGTTTGCAACAGCTATAAGCACGATGGAAAGTTCTCACATTTGGGAATTAGGTTTTTGACTATTCTTTGTGTGTGCAATAACCCAAAACAAAATAGTTCAATGGACCTTCATATTCCATAATTATAGTCCTATTATTTATTTGATTTCTTGATTGTTACTTTCAAGCCTTTTAAATGACACAAATTGTATCCTTTTAGTTTTTAACACTATGTCTTACCAGTAAGACATAGTTATAACATGAAAAAAAAATTCTCCACGTCAGCTGAAATGACTGAGGAAATAGAAAAAAAAAAGTAATTTTTCATATTATAACTATGTTTTACCAGTGAGATATGGTGTCAAAAATTAAAAGGATACAACCTTGTGTCATTTAAAAGGACAAACCTTTTTTCCTACTTTTAAATGAGTTTATTTGGTTTAGTTGGGCCCAAATTTTGAAATAGGTTAACTATTCATTTTTGTGATTAAGTTTAGAAGTCTTTTTTTTAAATAATAAGAATAAGAATAACTAACATAAATGATTAGAATAAAGCAGAAAAAATATACAGGATAAAAAAAAAGGTAAAACATAAAAATAACCATACTATACATCCTTATTATTTGTTTGCATTTACATGATTTGTTGTTAATTTGTATTGAGTATTTGATTTTTTATTTAGGTGGTGCCAAATTATAATTTTACCTTGGTTAATTATAATTAATTACATAATATATATAATAAGTAAAAAAAAAAAAAAAACCAAGCAAGTGCCAAGGCACCTGCTGGCCTTCGTGTGGCTACGTCAGTGACTGTTACTCCTTTGCCAAAGCCGCAAGTCATACACAAAAAAGGATAGTAGTTGGGAAGGGATACAACATGCAGACGGTACTCAGTCGTAGCCACACCAGAGACAGACATACAAGTGTAGGATTCCAAATCATCACAACCAAACAAATGGGGCTACACAACCTTCGTGATAAATTGGAACTGCAATGACCATACATGATAGAAAAGGACTCAGCTTAAACACATACAACCTGCAAATATAACTACCATGGGGTATTTTTGTCTTGTAAATTTCAGTTGTCATTCCCACCGCGTGGGAAATAATACTTACCATACCTTCGGACTGAAACTTTGATAAGGAAAACAAGTGCAAACTTGGTTGACAGCAAAAAAATGTTTCCAAATCAATTTTTAACTCTTCCACGTACCAAACACAGCCAACTTATTTTTCCCACCCCACTTTCCTGGCAAAATATTTTTTTCCATCATACCAAACACCCCCCTTGAGGAAAGCAAAAGGGAGAAAGAGAAGCCACATCAGCACACCTTCACGAGTAATAGAACGTACAATTAGAACAAGGAAAAAAGCTCTCTCATTTTAAATGACACACCTTATATCCTTTTACTATTATAAAGAAGTAGAATCCACACATTTAAAACTTTTTTCACTCATTCTCTCTCCTATAATTTATTTATTTCTCTCATTTTAAATGACACAACTTTGTAACCATTGAAATGATACACACTTTTTCCTTAGAACAATACCCATAACAGAAAACAAGTTCCATAATATTCTTCTTCTGTTTTTCGTCTTCCTTTGTTCGTCTGTTCTTCTATTCGTTTATGTTGTTTTTCTTCTAATTTTAGATTTATGAACATCTTGTTTTTAGTTCCTGTACTTAGGATTTGAAATCGTAATGGATTTTGTTTCTATTTATGTATTTTCTGTTGTCTTAGACATGCTCTGTAGCATGAATTAAGCACTTTTTGATTGAGGAAGACTAGTACTCAATATTTTCATATATTTAGTGAACTTATCTATGGTTCTTTTTTGTAATGAAGTTGTTTGTCAATTGTCAGATTTGAATTTCTGGCTATTATTGTTTAGCTTGCGGTGGGGAAGTTGTTTTGTCAAGTTGTTGTAGATTAGTTGTTCTAAAGCATGGATATGGGGAAAATCATCTTCAAGTAGTCTTTCTAATGTTGTTTTGTCATTTTTAGTGTTTTATGTTCTCACTTGATCTTGTGTATCTTCTTTCCTAAGATCAGAAAAATCAAAAACGAGTGTTACTGTTTCATTTTATCTTACAACATTATTTAAATTACAGCACTTATTTTTTTGAAGTCTTATTGAATTGTTCATTTGCATTATATCATTCCAATTAATTGTTCCACTAAGATGACATACGTGCAGTTAGTTGTGCTGTAGTCGTGATTGCTGTAGTTTTACATACTTTGCTATAGCAACAATACTTTAGTCAAGAAAAGACTTGTCCAATTGGTATTGCATGAATTGGGTCATGTTGGTTATGTTTTGTCACAGGTGAGAATGATCTTAATTCAGGAAATATCTATAGGTAGTACTGCTCTATCATTCACTCAGTGTATCTATCTAATAAAAAATGAAAAATAACTATCATGCTTATATGGAAAGGAGAAAAAAATATATTTTTTATCCAAGTGTCGCTTATTGAATGACAAATGTACAGAAGATAATCTGATTCACACAGATGGATACGCTACTTCCGATAAAACTGTCTTGTTTAATCATCATTCTGACCATATAAATGCAACCGATTATCATCCAGCACAAATTTTCTCTTCTTAAGAACTGAAACATGTGAATATTGACAGATGATATGGGACTTGAATAGATTTTGATTCAAAATTATTGTTTATATTCTATTAGTATGTACTATATTTAATCATATTCTGCAGACGAACTTATGTCATTTTATCTAGGTGTGGTGATTTATGCTCGACCTTCCTTTGTTTTTAATTCATTATTGGAAGATTTTCTATTTTATAGTTCTCAATTGTTACTTTAGAATCAATTTATATGATTTATTGTTACTACCATCATCCTCCTTGAATAAAAATATAATAGAATATCCATACCACCACCCCCCCGCCCCCCCCCCCAAAAAAAAAAATAGAATATTACTTATCTTAAAAAATAAAAATAATACTCAAATTTAAGGGATTGAATAAATTTGAAGAGGATGATCGCTCCCACTAATCTCTATCTCACTCCATCACGATATGGATGTATTATCATTTCAGATAAATAGTGGATTAGCCATGAAAATTAAGAGCTATAAATATTTATTTTTTATTATATGTTGTTAGCTTTATTTTGTCAAGCACATAAAAATGATTATAATAGTAATGTTGAATTAATAAATTTTAGTTTGAGTTAATCATGGTAATTTTTTATATTATTTATAGAACTTCATTGTGATAACATCTGTTAGAGATATATATAACTATTAATGCAGTCTCACTCAATAGCTTAACATTTTGGCTTGAATTGGCGTTTTACATGGTATCATAGCCTTTTGGATCTGAAAATAGCTCTTCCTGATTTGGCATAAGCTTGACATTTGGAACCATAGTGATATCGACGGGCTTAGCATTTTACAGAAGTGTCTCCTCAAGAATGTCCATAGCATATTTCTTTTGGGATATCATAATACCATCCTTGGATTGAGCCACTTCAATTCCCAAGAAATATTGTAGTGTTCTGAGATCCTTTGTCTGAAAATGATGATTGAGATGTTATTTTAACAAAGTAATGCCTTGATGGTCATCACCTGTAATGACAATGTCATCAACATAAGCCACCAAATAAATGGATCTGGAATCTAAGTGACGATAAAAGACTGAGTGATCAGCCTCACTCTGAGTCATACCAAACTGCTGGACATTGGTACTAAACCTCTCAAACTAAGCTCGTGAAGACTGTTTCAGATCGTAAAAAGATTTGCGGAGTCGACAGACTTGACTGGACTCTCCTTGAGCAACAAATCTATGAGGTTGCTCCATATAAACTTCTTCCGCAAGATCACCATTGAGGAAAGCATTTTTGACATCCAATTGATAGAGGGGCCAGTGACGGATAACATCTATAGTAATAAAGAGGCGAACAGACGTCATTTTCGCCACATGGGACAAAACACCTTAAGTGTATCCCTTGACCACCAAACGTGCTTTGAGACGATCCACATGTCCATTAGGACCAACCTTAGTAAATATCCATCTACATCCAACAACAGATTTTTCATAAAGAAAAGGAACCAGATCCCAATTACCACTGCTATGAAGTGCACACATCTCGTCAATCAAAGTATGTCGCCATCTGGGATGGGTAGGTCTGTATTGGAGGACGGGACTAAAGCAGCAGGAGTTGATGACGACATATTTGAGTCCATAGGAACCTCATCAGTGTCTTGGGGTATTGGTGAACGTGACCGACGGTGATAAACCTAGAGAGTGGGATCTGGTGCTAAGACATATGGAGAAGTGACAGTAGGCGGTGGTGGTGGGGAATCTGTGTCGGGATATATTGAATTGGAACAGAGGGTAAAGGTAACTGAGTATCAACAAAGTCATCATAAACAAAGGTGGAGCCAAAAAAATGGCATAGACTCAAAGAAAGTAACATCTGCCGAGACAAAAGAGCGATGGAGACTGGGAGAGTAACACCGATAACCTTTATGTGTCCGGGTGTAACCGAGGAACACACATTTGTGGGATTTGGCAGACGACTTATAATGATTACGGCTGAGTTCATGGACAAAACAAGTAGAACCAAAAATACAAAAAGGTAAGGAATGTAAAGGCTGATAGGAAAACAAGATAGAGTATGGTACCTGGTTATCAAGGAGAGATGAGGGTATGCGATTAATGAGATAGCATGCGGTGAGAACAGCATCGCCCCAAAAACTGGTATGAATATTCCCATGAAGTAAGAGTGTCCTAGCTATTTCAATAAGATGACGGTTTTTTTTTCAGCAACCTCATTTTGTTGGGGTTTGAGACAGATACTCACGAGCATTATCACTACAAAAAGTGCGAATAGAAATACCAAATTGAGTAAGAATTTTCTGATAAAACTTCTGAAATATAGAGAACAACTCAGAGCAATTTTTCAGTAAAAATAACCAGGTGTCCCGAGAATAATCGTCAATAAAGGTAACAAAATTTCTATACCCCCGAGTTGATTCAATACAACTGGGTCACCAAACACAAAATAAACCAAACTAAAAGGAGAGGAGGCACGACGATTGACTCTATCAATTGACATGATTCCCACTGCAAAGAAGACAACTTGGACAGATGTGACACCATCTTCTGGAGCTTTGTAAGACTAGGATGAGCCAGCTGAGCGTGAATAGTGAGTGGAGAATCTAATGAGCATAAGAGGAGTTGGAGAGCAGGTAAAGGCCATTGGAGTCAAATCCACCGCCAATTGTCCTCCCCGAATTTCGGTCCTATAAAACAACAGAATTTTGGGTAAAAAAAAAAATGAGACAATCAAAAGAACGTATTAAACGACTAATGGAAGGGAAATTAAAGGGTGAACCAGGAACATAGAACACATTATCAATAGTAATGGAGAAAAATAGATGTACTGTCTTAATCCCATGAGACTAAACTGGGAACCATTAGTCATAGTGATAGCAAGCAAATAATCAGATGTAGAAAGAGAGGAAAACAAAAATTTATTACCAGAAATATGATTAGAGGCACCGAAATCAAGAACCCAATGACCAAATGATGAACTTCGAGTGAAACCAGCAACACTATTACCTGTATGCATAACAATACCAGTGGAACCAGGAATCGTGGGCCAAGAAATATCTTGAGGAAAGATAAATGAACTAGGATAGGCCATGGATCAAGAATAGTTCGCTAAAACAAAGAAAAGAAGCAATAAAAGACGTCATGAACAGCAACAGAAAGAGGAGAAACGCTTCGGAAGCTCGAGCAATAGATTATATTATATACCCTGGATAGGTACCACTGCAATGACAAGGATTAATATAGACGCGACACATCTTATGAAAGTGTCCAAACATGGACTTGAATGTATGATTCCCTTCCTCCCCAATCCTCCTTTTAATGTGTGCCTTCAAGTAATTTACAAAATGATTCCACAAAGATGAGATTTCTAATTTCATCATAAAATAAAGCACATGCTTACGAAGTTCATTGATTAGTAATAGCACAATATTTGCTCTAGCATAAAACTATTAACGTGCTTGTCTAGATCCAATTTTGTTTCCCCATAAATAGCTTTTTCTATTATTAATCAAAAATAAAGATTATTAATAATTAAAACTTAAATATGGTATTTCAAAAATAATGGGTTTATAGCTGATAATAATAATTAAATTTAAAAGTATTTCACTCTCCTCATAATCCTAAATCCGATGCTCCTTGGCAACCAAAAAATTTACACAATCATTAGAAAGGGAAATTGGGTAAAAAAGAAAACACCATTATTCTATCAACATTGCCTCCAGTAATCACAAATTTTATACCGAAAATGGAGATAATTTTTGGCCAGTTGAGACCTTGGCATATATAGAGCCTATTTCAATATCTCAAATTGGCTGATTCCAGAACAAACCAAATTCTGAGAGCAGGTGTCAAGGCTCAATTAATCATTATACACTGGGACTCAAGATTTTTCCTAATTGAACAAATGACTTACTTTCCCTCCAAACGAGGGGTCAAGGCACTTGTTTGGCATCATAGAAGATTAAGGTTCTTTCACAAATTTAGATGAGCAGATCAAGCAGCTCATTGTATCCAAATAAGCTGTGTACTGTTTATTGTCATAAGCAAAAAGAAAACTATTAAAAGCACTTATTCGATATTCATATACTATTATGCTATTATTCTATTAAAGCGTAAAGTTGTTTCAAATGTAGAAATTCATATGATAAAAAGAAGAAATGGACTATCCTAATATGTGAATAAATTAATAGCTTATCTTATTGAAGAAATCCTAGAAATAAAATCACTTGCTTTGAAAGACAAATGTTTCCGGGCATGCATGCATGCATCGTGGGCATGGCTGTGTGCGCATGCATGTAGATAAACTGGGTATACCTATAGAAGGTTATTTGTATTTTCCACAAGGATCTTTAGGTGAGATTAAGTCAATAACAATCTCCATGGAGATGATATTCAGGCCAGTTCATTTGCAAAGTGTAATATGAAAGGAAATAAATAAATAAACGAACAAACACCTTATACACAAAAGGAAACAAGTCGTTCTTTGGAAATTCATATATTTCCATCCACTTTTGAATTTCACTCAGAAACGAGATTAAGATACAGAGCATTCTAATGTTATTGCTATCAAATAAAGACATCAGTCATTCTAGTTCTAGGATTAGTCCGAGCTCCAATGTGAATCACAACCATCATATTGCACAACATCTGTTAACTTAGCACCCATAATTACCGCTAACTTACTAGACATAAATAAATACATTTACAAGGTTTGTAGCCTGTTTAAGACAGAGGATGACCACGAAAAATTAAACATCAGATTAATTTAAATAACTGACAATAAACATATACAAAATGGATCTCAAGATTTTCTGGTCACTTTCTCATATGTTAAGGTATAGGTATCCTTGAAGCCCCTGCCCCATCATAGAAATAATAACAATTCTCAGTTAGGACTAAGGGTTTCAAAATCCTTATTAGATCACATATTAGAAGATGAAGATAATATCTTTAATAGATAAATGTTAGAAAATTGTAGTACAATCGGTTATAATATCTCCATGTTTATGCACCAAACTTTTAAATCAATCTCAAAGCAAATGGTTTTAAAAAGAAATAATCATACTACTAGTAATAATAAAAATAAAATATACAAATCCATAGATTAAAATATATACATGTATATTATATAAGAACAGGTTTTGTTATGTTTGCTTAAATGCAAAATAAACGGGTTGAAAAAGATCCTATGTTGGCTAAAATTATTGAGGATCTCAAATCTGATTCAAATTCTCATTCTGCCTATACAATGGAGAATGGGAAGCTTTATTATAAATCCGGATTGGTACTTTCAGCTTCATGCGCTTGGATTCCAAAGTTATTACAAGAATTTCACTCCTACTAGTGGACAAGCCGATGTATTCAGAACTTATAGAAGAGTGGCATATTCTTCGTTTTGGGTTGGCATGAAGGGCACAATTACCAAATTTGTGGCTGAATGTCAAGTTTGCCAGTGTAATAAATATTTAGCTACTTCTCCTGTCTTCTTCAACCACTTCCTATTCCTAATGCCATTTGAGAGGAAATCAGCTTAGATTTTGTTATGGGGCTACCTAAATATAAATGTTTTGATACAATTTTGGTGGTGACAGGTTGAGTAAATATGGTCAGTTCATATTGATCGAGCATCCCTATTCCACTAAAAGCATTGCTGAAATCTTCATCAAAGAAATTGTTCGTCTTCATGGAGTTCCTATTTCCATTGTAAGTGATCTTAATCCTACTTTCATGAGTAGTTTTTGGAAAGAGTTATTTCAACTGCAAGGGACTTCACTTCGGTTTAGTATTGCTTATCATCCAGAGACAGATGGTCGAATAAATATTCTGAATAGGACTTTAGAAACTAATCTGCGGTGTTTTTGTTCTGAACAACGTAAGGTGTAGGGAGATTATTTGCCTTGGGCTGAATATTAGTATAACACTAGTTTTTAAACTACTGCTCAATCGACAACTTTTGAAGTGATTTATGGTAGACGTCCTCCTTCTCTAATTAAGTATTATCCCGGGGGAAACTTTGATTGAGGCTGTAGCAAAATATTTAATTGATCGGGATGAAGCTTTAAGACAATTGAAGTATCACTTGGAGAGAGCACAGGCTCGGATGGTCAAATATGCTAATTTACATCGTACTCCTGTTAGTCAGGTTGGTGACTAGGTGTATTTGAAAATAAGACCTCATAAAAGTGTGCCTGCTCAAGGTCGATTACCACCTAAATTGGCTGCTCGCTATCATGGCCCATTTCTTGTACTCAAACAAATTGGAGATGTGGCTTTTCAATTACAACTTTTGTCCCATGTTCGTATTCATCCGGTTTTCAATGTATCTCAATTAAAGAAGGCAATTGGCAATCATCCCGTTAAAGAATAATTACTATAGGACTTTCAAGATATGACTCCAGTTTTTATTCCTGAGAAGATTTTGGCTTCTCGCACTATTCAAGACCACGGTTTTCCTACTAGGCATGTTTATTCAATGGTTTGATCATCCTCCAAAGGAAGCTTCTTGTGAAGATGTTCTTGCAATTCAGCATCAATCTCCAGATTTTAACCTTGGGGACAAGGTTGTTTTTAAACCGGGAGGTATTTATACATACAAGGAAATTCAAGGTCCTAAATCCTTCAAGGTTTATACTAGAAGACATAAATAAATAACTGCTACAGCATTTGATTAGAATATGTAGACAGTTTCATATGCAGGCAGATTGTAATAGAAGACAAATAAAATAACTGCAATAGCAGTTGGTTAGGATATTATGTAGACAGTTCCTACGAAGGCATTTTCTTACTGGTTAGTTGTGGTCAGTTATTGGATTATAATAAGAGAATAAATTAATCCTCAGTTAGAAAGGGAGTCAGCTATTGGTTTATGTAAGGGTAGTTAGCAAAGGAGAGTGCTCCTTGGGGAGGTCTAACCTCTTTTATGTGTTGTAGGAACTTCTTTTGTTAAATCTATGGATGTGTTGCAGTATTTATCTTCTGTTATCTGTTAATTCAAGGGAAAGAAACTAGGAACACAACATATTTCTGATAAAAAGCAATGGAAAAAAAAATAAGGAAACTAATTCTCTCTCCCTCCCTCTCCACTGACCTTGAAAACCAATTCTATTCTCTCCATTTTTGTTCAGGTAAAATTTATGGGATGAAAAGTACCGTATGATAATTTCATTCTATGCATGCATGCTGATTTCAAATTTTAGAGGTTGCAAAGTTATAAAACAAATACGGTGCAAGGGTGAAAAGGGGAGACTTTGTGTTGTGTTCTGTTAGGAAGCTCAATTATCTTGGAGTTGAGTTAACCTAGGTTTGATAAAAGGCCTTTGTGATTTCTTTCTAAATGTGTTGCTGAAAGGGTGAATTAAGTAACCGTGAGAATGGAATGTTGCCTTATTATCATTATTCTTGACTGCATGTAACCCAAGAGTGAAGGATAGAAGCAAGATTGTAGATTTTATTTACTTTCATGAGACTTTTGCATTTTACAATAAGCAGCTTTGCTGTCATTGGCTTGTTGAAATTTCTTCTCTTTTATTGGTGAAATAAAAGAAGAATTAGTGGCAGGACAGTGGTGGAAACCAGTTAAGTTGTTATTTGTGAGTCAACAAAAGCACATGATTCACCAAATATAAAATCTTACCATTTCGATGCTGCATTATAAAGTTTATGGTTATATACCTTTTGACTTGGTACAGCATCAAATTCTGGATGTTATATATACTGAAAAAAAGGTAATCTTGCTGATTTCGTATTATAGCCTGAAAGGTTTTTTTATGGGAACTTTATAAATGCCCCTAACGTTATCCTTATAGTTAAAAATGTCCTTAATGTTTTGAATTCAAATAATATTGTTAAATTTTATCACATTGTGATTATTTTGTCCTCCAATTATTTACATAAAGGCTTCTACCTTAGTTTTACCCCAAATATTAAGATTCCTTTCATGCAGGAGTTTCTACCTTCCCTTTCCCCAAGATGATCATATCATACTTGATTGATGCTCTTTATTAGATTGTTTTACTCTTTGTTTCATGATATGCTCTTCATTCTTTTTTATCACCAACAATATCCATAGTTTCTCTTTCTTTAGCTTTATGGGTTTGGTACAGATATTTTTTTTGGGTGGGGGTGGTTGCTCAAGCTTTTGGTAGTTGATTTTGAATTCTCATTGACAAAAAACTTTAACGTGTTAAATTAACAGAAGTTATGAGTGTTTTAAACGTAGTTAAGGATATTTTTATTCTAAAGAAAATGCGTAGGATATTTGCAAAGCTTTCCATTTTCTTATTGGATGTTTTGACTTGGTTATAACATCAAATTATGAATGTTATAAATTATAAATATTACGTATATATTTATACCATACTCTGATACTCATACTCCTAAACAACATAACGAGTTGGAATTAGAAATTCCAACCAGGCATGACGGTGAAGGCATAAATATCATCCTATTTCTTTTTATCTTGTATATATAAGCATCGGTGCTAGGTGAAGGCATAAATATTATCCTCTTTCTTTTTTGTCATGTATACACATATAGACTATAGAAGCGTGGGTGATAGTTGAAGGCATAAATGTCATCATCTTCTTTTTGTCATCTATATATGTGTATAGAGGCGTGGGTGATAGGTGAAGGTATAAATTTCCCCTCAAATTTTTCATCAGTAAAACGAAGCTAAGTCACAGAAAATTAAATCTAAAAAATTAAAGCCTATCAGAAATTTAAACTAAAAATATGTTTTTCTCAGATTTAGATACTATGAATCGGGATCCATAACATAGAGACGATAGAGTACTAAATCTAAAAGCATTTCGGATCTGACAAGCAGGAATTAAAATAACTAAATAAGCAAAAACCATAAAAATTACTTGTCGTAGAAACTCATACGAGATCTGAGTGAGAGCAGCCGGAAAACCACGCAAAGTTTCACCGCGGCCTCCGATTCAGTTGATGCAAGGCGGGATCCAATTCGCCGCCGGCGACCGCTCCTCCATTACGGGCGAAAACCGTAGCAGCAGCGGTTCCCGACCTGCACCAAGCGAATTAGAGACCGCGCAGTGAGAGAATCATCATCCTCACATAATCGCATCATCTTCAGCAAAACCACCACACACACCTCTCTCTCTCTCTCTCTCTCTCTCTCTCTCTCTCTCTCTCTAACGACGGAGGTAGGTAGAAAGAGAAATTTGGAAAGAAATCGCGAGGCTAACTTAACTCACCCAACCTATATGGTGAACGGGTGAGGATTGGGTTAGTGAGGTGTTATTTATAAAGAGCACAGACAAAGGAGATTTTGACACGTGGCGCTACAATATCTCCATGATGCCACTTTTTGTACAAACAGTTTTTTTTTTTTTTTTAAGAAAAAAGCGGGACAGAGATACATGTGGAATTGGCCATGGATTTGCAAAAAATTACGGAGGATGTACTACATGTTGAAGTACGTGGATGCACGTGCGCGTGTTCTGCAACGGGTTTCCTGAAACTCGTTTCACTATGGGCTGCACTTGTTTACAGTTTGGTACATAATAATAAGGGTTTTATTAGTGTTATGTAACATAATGTAAGTCTTGTTTCTAACTCTCACATCAAAAGAGAGAGAAAGTAGAATAATGTAAGAGAAAGAAAAATATGTGGACCCCACCTTTTTAATGTACATGTAAGAAAGTGAAGTTATATTATGTTAAAGGATAAACATAAAACCGTGAAAAAAAAAAATGTCCTTACCCTTTTATCTGTCCTTTTTTGGAAAATAAAAAAAATGAAAAAAAAACTGTGTTCTGTTTACTCACTACCTGTTATGTAAGATTTGAGTGATGAATTGGTCGGGCCCCACTTTCCCAAGTAGATAGTTGTGACTTTTATGAAAGTTAAAAATATTGGTGACTTATGAGTTTCCTCATAAGATTAAAACTCAACATATCATTAGTTGTGATCGGTTGTGGTGGCAGGTTTTAGGTTGTGATAGCAATGGATTGGGTATACAATCCAATGTAGACTTGTTTGACCTGTCATATTTTTTTTTATTCGAATATGATTATGGATTTGATTACATTGGATCATAAAAAATTTATAACTCTTACTAATAAATTAATCATCATTAATTTTCACTAATCTAACGATTATAATTGATTAAAAATTAATAATTAATTAATAAGTGTATCCAATAAATTATAACTGTTAGATTGACAGAAATCAACAACGATTAATTTAGTAATAAAAGTTATAAAACTTTTCAATAGTAAGTATAATTTTTTTCTAAAAATATAGATCATCTTTAAAAAATTCATAAAGCTACTATTGGTTAACGAGATGAGCCAACATAATGTGATAAGCTGGTCTTATTTTGTTGACTTATTTTGTCATGTTCATTATTCTAAGAGAATAAAGTAAATGTGATAATAAATATCACTTTCCTCACGTCCCAGATATAGTTAAATGCCATTTTCTTACTAACTATCCTAGTCACATGAGAGTTAGCCAGCTACCATTATCGCCGCCACCAACTTAACTATGACCATGAGCTACCAGTTCCCACCACCGCCACTCCATCCACCAAAGCACAAACCACATATATCATCAATTAGCCACCACATTCACCATCGACTATCACCGTTGCCATCATCCCCATTGGCCCTGCTACCACCACCATCATTGTCATCAACAACCAGCCACCACCTCGGGTCACTACCACCCACAAGCACCAAACACCAAAACATCATCACCACCACTGTCTCAATTAGTCACAACAATTGTCACATGTCATCAGTGGCGAACATAGAAAATATAATTTATGTCTGCACATTTAGGGTGTGCATGAACTTTCTCGGAATCAATTTTTTTTTTTAATTTATGTTCTCGGGAACAGAAATGGATAGAAAACTCGTTTGATAAAACCAGTTTATTTTTTTGTTCTCGGGATAAATCGGTTTAATTTTTGTGCTGGAGAATAAAAAAAAGAATCAAAAAATTCTATTTTTTTGTTCCTGGGCACAAAATGAGAAATATTTGTCTCTCTCAATCACTCTCCACCACTACCATCATCACCATCACCACATCATCCCGACACGACCACCGCCACCATCGTTGTTGTCGTTGTCGTACCACCAGTGTCGTCACCACCACCACCACCTCCTCCACTCATCGCCATCATCACTACCACCATGCCAATATCGCCGTCGCCTGCACCACCACCACCACTACTATCACCACTGCCACCACTGTCACCAACCATCACTATCATTGCTACAGCCACTATCGTCACCACCACCATCACTACCATCACCACCACCGTCATCGCCACCACCACCATCGCTGCAGCCACTGCCGTCATCATCCATCACTACGCCATCGCCACCACTACCATCACTGCAGCAATTGCCGTCGCAACCACCACTACCATCACCACGCCACCACTACCACAACTGCCACCATACCACCACTATTACCATCGTCACTACTATCACCACCACCGTCATTGCAACCACTGTCGTCACCACTACTATCACTAGCATGCCCCCCTCATCACTGCAATTACTGTCGTCACCACCACTACCATGTCACCACCACCACCACACCACAGCCACCGCCGTCGTCGTTGCTGTCGCCACCACATCATATGAAAAAGAAAGTGATGATCCAAAAAAATATTTATGCTTAATAGGAATTATTTTTTACTATATTATTTTTTGTATTATCAAACACAATTCTCATTCTCGGAATAAAAATGGAACATGTTATCAAACTTTTTTTTGTCAAAAACTGTTCTAAGGAACAGAGATAGAAAAAAATTATTTTTTTCAAAAATAGTGTCAACGAACAGAATTGTTGTCATGTACATCCTTAGTGATAGGGGTTTGTGGGCAGCGCCCCCAAAAAATTTTTTAAGGAAAATTTTAAATGCATTAAAAAATAAAAATAATAAAAGAAAACTTCAACTTAACATAAAAAAATAGTAATCAAGAGTCAACTAATAGAAATTAACAATAATATAACCCATTGTTTAAGGAAAAATGAATTAAGAAATTTAATCACTTTCAAGACAATGGATTATATTTAATATATATGTGAGATTAGTATTTTTTCTACAATAGAAAATAAAATTATTTATCGTAACTTTAAAATAATATTATTTTAGAATTTTAAGAGATAACTTTATTTTATGTTGCAGGAGTAATAAAAATTCTATATATAAAAGAGTGAATTATCAATATCAAAGTACTTACAAAATTAATTTATAATTTATTATTATTATGATATATTTCACTTTATTATTATTTTTCACTAAAAAATCCATCCGAAATATTTTTTATTGTTAAAAGAGTGAAATATTTTTTATTTTTAAAGTGGTAGGACTTATCCTTGTGAATTCCAGATGGCTCCTTTATTCTTTCATGGGAACTTGAAAATGAAAGGGTGAAAAATATGAAAAAATAAAATAAAAATAGGATAAAAAGCATTAATAGGAATCAAATAGTGTTCCATACACACACAAAAAATCTATTACTCTTGTCCCATGTCTTCACCGTCATCTAGCAACCTTGCTGATTACAAAGGACCACCAAAAGAAATAAAATTAATTACCTATTATGAAGTTAATGTCTGCACTTTTAGTCAGAGTTAATAATATAAGTCCGACAGTGCATGTTGTTTTGGTGACATCACCACCGCCTCTTCAATCCGTCTCTTTATTTGTCACTATTTTCGGCCACCAATATTAACTATCAATTTAAAAAAAAAAAAATTTATTTTGGCAATGATATAATTTTTTTTTGTTTTGAAATTTTTTGTAAGTTATTCATGTATTGTAATATATTTTATCTTAAATTGTGATTTTTGAATTTTTTTTAATAATTTTAACTAAGAATTCATGCATAAATAAGAAAAAAAAATTGAAAATATTTTTAAAAAAAAATCATAGGAATAACTATTAAAAAGGGATATTTTATCTCCATATTATTTCCTATTCTTATACAGTCATGGTATTTTATCCATTCTTATCATATCTTATACACCAAATGGGCCAAAAATTCATAATAAAAAAATGTAAGTTTTTATACACAGTTTGTTATGTCACTCCTAATTAAATTTACCTTTGCAAATGATTAATGGTTAGGTTAAGTTTATTTTAAGTAAAGATGAAAGTTAAAGCCACTTAAATTTAATCGGATGGGTTAGGTTAGATTAATAAAATTTTCTTTATAAACCAAAACTAATCCAATCTAATCATGGTTGTTTAGTTTGAATTGGATAATTAAGTTAACAGTTTTTAATAAATTCATGTCAAGAAACCTGCTCTTCAAAAATTTAAATTATTAGGTGAAGATACATGAATAATGAGGTAGATTATTCTTATATCCATTCTTAGGGCCTGTTTGGTGTGACGTATAAGGCATGATAGTATAAGCTTATACTATACATTATGACATTTTCAGTTGTTTGGTGTAACCATTGTATAGTATAAGCTTATACAGCAGAATCCCTTAATACATCAAAACGATGTATAACTTAATCCGGCCTAAGGGGAGAGATAAGGCCTGATAAGGGATTGATGTATTAATATTGCTTACAAGTGCAATTCCCAAGAACTAATATATCATTTCAATATTAATATATTAAACTATTTTTTTTTAATATATTAATTTTTGAAATATTGAAAGTTATTTTCTTATACAATATCATACCAAACGCTGGATTGTATTAAAATTTAATCAGGTCTTATATAATCAGGTCTTATACTATCAGGTCTTATACTATCAGGCCTTATCCTATACTATGCACCAAACATGCCCTTAGTTATTAATTCATTTGTATCCAATGAGTCACTTACCAAAAAAAAAATTAGAACCATTAGATAAAAGTATGATCAAATGTCAAGATTGAAAGTGTAACTTATACTCGTATAAAATGATCCTAATCCTTTTTATATTTTTATTTCTAATATGCTCTCTCACGCAAGAGTCTATTTGGCTTCGTGAACAATGTTTTACCTATTTTTACTATATTAAGAAATTTCGTAAAATTTATTAAAAAAATGAGAGCGTGAAAAATAACTCTAAAGTATTTGGTCATAAAGGCTCTGATATCAATTTTAAAAGAATGATGAATAATTTTTTCTCATTCATTATAGTTTTGTCAAAATACAATCATTATATAGAGGAGGATTTTCTCTAATTATGCCATACAATCACCCACAATTATAGATATACAATAAT